CCATAAATAAATCATGAACATGGCATTAATAATATGAAGCTCATACCGAAATCTAAACATGTGAGAATGTACCAAAACATCTATGAAGAAAATAAGTAGGACTAGCACATGAATAACTAAATAGGGGATGAACAAGTCATACCCTATAGTAGGTCAGGCTAAAGTTATGGCGGCAGCAGCAACTGCGGCTTCCTCCATAGTCTTCTTCCTAGCGGCGTCGTCAACCATGGCGTCAGTGTGGAGGAGGGAGTAAAAGCAGAAGATAGAGAAGAAGTCGAGCAGTGAGCAGTCGCGTAGAGACACTCTTCAAAAACCTTACCGCCCTCCTCCCAGTGCAGGATCGCAAAGGGCCGGGTTCTGGAGGCCTACTCTTCCCAACGGCCGTGCACACAGTCGACGAGATGGAATTGCTGGAAGCAACAACAGTGAATGAAACGGTAGTGGCTGCTACGATTATGCGTGAGGAAACAGAGAGAATGTCTTTGTCAAAGATGGATGACCAATGCCTCCAATATATAGGCCATCGGGTAATGTCTCGTGGATCTGGGTTCATGCCCATGACCAAGTCAATAACATCCCACAATCCAACGTTTTCAGATTAGTGACTCGTCCACTAGCGACTCATAATTAATCTCAAATTAATTATTCAGTCCTGACAAGCAAACATTTAGCGTACACATGACATAGTCTAAGCTCGGCTGGTTCACGAAACGAGCGCGAGGCGTGGAGGAAGAGGAGCATCCATGAACACTCCTCTTCTCATGCTCTAATAGCATATAGGAGAGAATCCCTTATAAATACATCTTAACTTAACCTCACTAGCACTATGGTATACTAAAACTTGGCACCATGTAACGAATTATTGTTTATATGGGCCCAAGGCCAATCTATAATTCAACACGATCATTATTACCAAGGCTGCATCCGCTCGCAGCATTTCGGCACATCGCGAGGGGCGCGTTTATACTTCCTATTTGGCGCTTCACGTGCCCGTTTGTATACATTTTGCAAACAAGCGCATATCCTAACTTCCCTTTCATGATCTGGTTTTTAAAATGGGAAGTGATCTGTGCCCGCGCGCCGGCCCAACTGTTGGACCGGTCATACCCCAGCCGGCCGATGCAGCGAGATTCAACCGTCCGATCTTGCATGCGTTGACTTTCTCATCTTCTTCTTCATCCTCGCGCGTAGCGCAAGCGCTGCCCCCTTCTGCCTGGACATCCTCTCGGCCGGCGGCGACCACCCCCTCATCTAGACCTCCTTCCCCTGCACCATCCCGTGTTGCTGGATGCCGTGGTCGTCGCCGGTCGCTGTCTCTCATGTTTCTCGTCAGATCCATGTATGCAACAAGCTTTCACCCGTAGGTTGCAGCTCGTCGTAGCGACGGTCACAGCTCCAGGGAAGGCGGCCGCAGCTTCTCGCGGCGGTCGCAGGTCGGAGCACCTCCGGCGATGCCCTCACAAAAAAAGTACTCTCCCTCGGGGTGCCAATAGTAGCAAAAAAAACGGCCGCTTTGTAGCAAAAAAGTGTATCAGTTCCAACAAAAAAAGCTCGCCGATGCCGCTTGTTGTCGCCATTGTAGCAAAATTGTTTACCGGATGTAGCTTCCTTGGTTGCCGGTTGCAGCAAAAAATTGATATGGTTGTAGCAAAAACAAAATCAATGTCGGCCGGCCCTTGCGTATGGTGGTAACAAACCTTGTTGTCAGTTGTAGCAAAAATCTTCATGGTTTGCAGCAAAAAAAATGTTGACGCCCATCATCGAGGTTGCGTCATCTTCACGAACTTGTATAGCATAAAAATGCCGTCGTCGGTAATAGCAAATGAAGGCCCCGATAGTAGCAAAACAAAACACTGGTTCCAGCAAATGAAAAATAGCGACAAATCTAATATTTGGTTCCAGCAAAAAAAAATATCGGTTGTAACATCCCTCGCCGCCGAATGTAGCATCTTCCGCGGCCGATTACAGCACTCCATAACAGAAGAATGAAGCTCTGTATGGGTGCATCCATGGCGACTGCTGCGTTATTGTGAGCGTCAGACCTCACATCAGTGTGTGCGCAGGCAGCAAAAACAAAGGGGGAACCGGAGGCAGCAAAAACGTCGTCTCCATTTGGTTGCAACTCGCCGTCAGAGGTAGACGTAACTGCTGTCGACGCTTTCTCGCACGCCAGCATGTTGCAGCCGGTGAGAGGGCTTGCAGGGTCTCGAGCTGCGTGGGGAAGATCGGGAAGGAGCAGAGCCATGGTGTTGGAGATAGAAGAAACGGGCTGAGTAGAATGAAGGAGGAAGAAGATAAGGCATTAGATTTAATTCGCGTGTGGGTCTGCTGTACTTACGTGTCATGATCTGAATCGTGGGATGCTGCGCGTGTGGACGCGACCGACCGAAGTTCCTTTTATCATTCTCTGTTTTTCCTTTTTTTCCCCTTTTACAGGCCTTTTTTTCCTTTTATAGGCCGCCAGGACGGGCCCAGCCAGAAGTAGCGACTGGGCAATGGCCTAGAACAATCAAACTCTTCCCCAGCCCCGTGCCGCTCCCCCGCGGGGCGGCCCGGGCGCGAAACCCTAACCGCCGCAGGTCGCAGACCTCCACCACCCCTTCCTCCGCCGCCGCCGGCGAGCGCCGCCGGGCAAAGCCCGCACGGCGTCGGCAGCGGCGGGCCTTTCTCTTCCCTCTCGCCTGGGGCTGGAACTGCTCCCCTGGGCAGAGGAGGCGCTCGGTGGCGCGGGTGGAGGGCCCTGTCGGGCGCGAGCGCGGCGCGGCCTGGCGCGCGCTGGAGTCGGGCGGCGCGTCCTCGCGAGCTGGAGGCTGGGCGGCGCGCGCGGAGTGTGAGTTGCTGTTGTGCGGGCACGCGTGGATCTGGCGTGCCGCAGTCGCGGCAGCGGGCAGATCCAGGGCGCTGCGAGGGGGTGCTCTATCGTCGCCCCTGCACGGATCTGCGGCGTGCCGATCGCGGGTGGCGCGCGTGGGGCTCCGGGACGCCCGGATCTGGCGCGTAGGAGGCATGTTGGGCGGGAGGGCTCCGGCCAGAGCGGATCTGGGCGCGGTGGGCGCTTGGTGACCGCGGGCGGTGCTGGAGCAGAGGGGTCCCGGCCGCGGTACAGATGCGGGGTGCGGGACCGATCTGGTCTCTGCAGGCCCGCCGTCGGGGAGGTTTGGCGGTGGCCCTGCGCAGCGGTGGCGCGCCCGCTGTGTGGGGGCGCGTGTTCAGTGGAGGCACAAGTCGACCTCGGCCTGCTGCGTGGGAGTGGCTGTCCCGGGTGATAGCCTGGTCGGTGCTGGCCGGCCGGCGGCGACGACGTCTGTGGGCGTCCCTATCCTTGGAGGCGTCGTCGGGATTCACATAGCTAGATCTCCCGGATCAGGTCCTTCGGGTGAAAACCCAGATCCTGCTGCAGGGTCGGGCGGTGGCGTCGTCCTCAACGTCGTTCCCCTCTCTAGGGCACCGTCTTGAAGACTTTGATCCCTTTGGTGCTTCCTACAACTGGAAGTGCAGGGTGGCTTCTGTGGCAACGATGACGGTGGTGTGCAATGTCGGAGGCGTGGCCTTGGTCGTGGTAGTCGGCTCTTCTTCTCCGGCGTGTCCGTGGGTGTGCCTCGACTGCCTGTTGCTGTGAAGTCGAAGCCGCGGTGGGGGGCCGGTGGTAGACGATGACACATGACAGATGGCTCGTTCGGTGATCCCTTGTGACGCCACCCCAGCCTAATTCCCTTAGTAGTACACCGTCGGAGTCGGAGCCGCGCTGCCTAGTATGGGATGTGTGGAGTGTTGTGCTGCAGCTATTAGGGCTGTTTTTTTTCCTTTCTTTTCTTTTTCTTTGATCTTCGGATCTGGTCCTAGGACCTTCACCACTTTGTTGTTTTCCGCTGCTTCCTGCTATTATCAATGAAATGCCAGCGATGCTGGATCTTTCAAGAAAAAGAAGAAGTAGCGACTGCTTTTGCCTCTGCAGAGCTGATATGGATCAGCTTTACGTCTTCGGCGGTGAGAAGGTCAGCGCAGGGCTATTTAAATTTAAGCCGCGTAGAATGTTGCTAGCCGAGCGATGTGGTACTAAACATTCCAGACGCTGCGTTTGTTTGTTCGCAGACTGGGCCGTCCGTCGTGTTCGTCCGCTGGCCCACAGCTGGTACCTTGGAGCACCAATTATGTATTCACTGACTTCTGATCCACCATCAGATGGTACCTTCAGCTTGTTGACATTCAACATCACACCCTTATCACCAGCAGCTTGCATTAGTGTGCCTTCATTCTCCTCATGCTCACAGTTTTTTTTAGTGGGGCCTGACCACTGTATGTGGTGCAATGATCGCTCCCGCATAGCCTCAACAAACCTCTGAGTGACCATCGGGACAGTCTACTCACTCACACCAAGGTAGGATCCTATGGTGACCGGTGACTCACTGGAGTTCAGCATTACCAGCGACAGCTACTTGATCTCGTCGACAAAGGTGTGATCCCTTGCCATCATATCTTCAAAAAATGCCCCCCTCGACAAGCTGCAGATGTAACTAAAGGTACTTAAATCCAATCTAATTTGGCTAAAACTCAATGATAGAAAAAAAAACACTAGGCAACAGCAGAACACCTAGACTTATGTGCACTTAAGCCTTGAAATACAGTAAAGCAGAACACCTTAGTTTGATTTTTCTATACCTTGAAACACAGTAGAGCTTTTCAATGGCGTAATCCTCCAAGGCCAGTCGCTCGAGTGCAGGGATAAACATACATGACTCAACTGCCATTATGTTGCAAGCCTCTCCAGGTTACAGCAACCGGAAGATATAAATCACAAATAGTCTGTCTACATGCAGCACTACCTCTAGTTGTTTCCTCCACCGCATGAAAGCTTGTTGCCAATAATAACACAACACTTGTCTGCCACATACTCTGTTTTCTATACATAGCATCGACGGTTAAGCACCTCAGAAACTTGCTCCAAGATTTAACCTGAGACACGCATCGCGCCGCGTGCACATGTAATGAAAAATCTCTATCTATATGACTTTAATCTCCTTGAGCCAAGCTGTGTGGAGTGGGCATGGATCTGGCTTTCCTTCCGTGAGGGCCTTTTCGGTGAGCGAGTAGAACCAACCATTCCTCCACTTGAACTGTTACATCGAAATGCTTACATGTTACTAATTTTCAAAAAAAAAAAAAAAAACTATTGCAGGTGAGCGGGTTCCATTGCATAGATTGGCAGCGGTAGGGCTTGCCTCTTTCACGGCGGTTGGATAGTGTGCCACCGCTCTGGAGTAGGCGCAGAGCCTCTCTTCCATGCCCTCGTCGAAAGAAAGCCCCCGCTCTGCAGCCGCGACAGATGCTAATTCAACTATGAGGCTGGATACCTGCAAAAGGAAAAGAAAGAAACGCAAAACTGATCTTTCTGTTGGAAGAGTGAGTGTTGTTTGTTCTTGGACAATATATATTGTTAAGCTCAATCGTGGAGCATTATGAAAGAAAATGCTGAAGTAAACCTATTGGCTATTGACATGATGATTATATTGCTGAATGCGATGTCTTATTATTGTGGTGAGCACGAAGGGCAAATAACTATATTATCGACAAGTCAACAATGTATATATATAGTCCTACTTTATTTACCTTTTCGGCATTTGATCTAGTGGAAGAAAAATAGCTCGGAACTGAAACAGCTCCAAGACATTCAAGAGAGACCTTGAGCAAATTACCTCAGAACAGTATTCTTTTTCAACCGCACCAACTGTAGCCCCAGGATGACGAGCTCCAACGAGCATGAAAGCTGAAATCCAAATCAGCTTCTCTAGCATTTGCTTCTCAAAGGCTCCCTTCTCAAGCACCTGAGGATTTTTCACAAATGAGAATTGTAGTATCTTCAGATATGGCCCCAACCAAGTCAATCTTCAGGACAAGATTCCAAAGCACAATGAATTGATCGGGATGCATCTTCCAGTTCATCCACTTCACATCAAGCAGAGCCTGAGTAACCGTCAATTTCTGTTTTGCAGCACAAACCTTTTCCCCGTCGGATCGGATGATAGGAAAGCTTCTTCTGCTTTTATCAATCTTGTTTTGTTGGTGTACCATTTGTGCGCAGCAAACACAAACAGCAGAAGAGGTCCGCAGCCCCCAAGTCTATCCACGAGCACACTGACCCAGAGAGTTGTGAGGCATTCTACACTGACGAACTGCACGATCACTGAGTCGATATGGGTGATGAAATCACCTTGCAGGTGAGCCCGCCGTTCTGGAGGCGGGCGGCGACAGCGGGGGCCCAGGCGCCGAAGGCGGCGGTGAGGCCCTCGGGGTTGGCGGCGGTGATGCCGTCGACGGGGGGCTCGCCGAGCCTGGACACCGCGAAGTAGGCGAGCACCTGGTTGGCGCCCGCCAGGCCCTTGCTCTCCAGCCACGGCTCCAGCATCCCGTTCTGGAAGAAGACGAGGTCGCGCCACCGGGACCTGGGGGTGGCGTCGAGCACGGCGTCGAGGTCGTCGTTGCGGGTGCAGACTAGGATGGGCCCGGCCGGCGCGGCGGGCGGGAGCGCCTCGCCGCGGCGGAGGAGTAGGTCGCCGCCGGCGGGCGGGCCCATGGAGAGCAGCGCTTGGCCCACGCGGCCGCCGCCCACCACCACCACGGGCTGCACCATCGCCCTGAGAGCGACCCTGGCCCTGCCCCTGGAGGAGGAGGATTGGAGGCTGCGGCGGAGGGGAGTGGCGCCGGCGGGGACGGCGGCTTGGAGGCCCATTAGTTCCGTTCCGGCGGACTGGACGGGGCGGTGGGCCACGTAGATGATAGGGCGAGACAGTCCAGCCCGTACGTGGACTATGTATTTCCGTCCTTTTGTTTTCTCATCAATAAAAAAGTGTGCCGAAATGATTGCGGTAGTCGCCTCTTCTCGGCCGTGTCCGCAGGATTGCATCTACCGGCTTGTTGATGTGAAGTCGATGCTACTATGGCGGGACCCGATAGTGTACGATGAGGAGCAGCAAGTGGTTTCTTCGGTGATTTTCTGCAGCGCTGGCCCTCCCTAGTTCTTGGCAGTTCCTTGTTGGAGTCAGAGCTGCGCTATCTTGTCGCAGGGGCCGAGTCCTGCCATTAGCCACATACGATCTCTGCAATGTAGGCTGAGTCAACGATCGCCTACGGTAAAGTCGGAGTCGAAGTCGTTTGCTCAAGATGGCGATGCATGATACCACTAGGAGTGATGATACGGTGACGCCTGTGCATTGTGTCGGCGATGTCATTTTTGAAGTGGTGGTATCTTATGTTTGATCTGGTTTTCGCTTGAATTTTTTTTTCTAATGAACCGAGCAACTCTTCGCTTCTTAATGGAGTGAGATGGCGATGATGGGTCAAGGGTCGGCAGAGCGCTCTGGTCAATGGCATCGCATCCGTTGTCAGCGGAGCTTTTTTTTTTTTGAGAAACGTTGTCAGCGGAGCTGAGGTCCAGATAGAGACCATGGGCTGAAGGGGTCTCAGCAGAGCCCACCTGGGCAGTAGAGAAACACGGCCTAGTAAGTGGGCCAGGCTCCGGCTCCCCAAGAGGTTGTAGTTGGGCCAGAGATACGTTAGGGGTATTCAAGAGCGCTTCGGGGGGCTACGGTTGACCAGGGGAGGCGACTGATCCTGGGAAGCACATGCAGCAGGCCGCAGCACCATGGCTGCTGATAGGGCACCCAGCTCCCGGCTGCCGACAGCGCAGGAGCAGTAGTGGCAGGGCGCAGTTCGCTATCCAAAGATGAAGGAGCCTCGCGCAGGGAGCTTATCATTGGCAGGGCAAGCTGCCGGTCAGCCCTGCCTCTTTGTTTGGTGACCGAGGCAGCTACATGAGCATGCTGCTCATGCTCCTGTGTTGGCTCCGGCTGGGGCAGCTCCATCACGTGGCCACGGGGTGCCGCCGCGTCGTCACCTGCCGAGGAGACGATGTCAACATGCGCACTGACCAACAGCTGGGCATGTGCGGTTTTGACGGCCACCGCGCTGACGATGTTAGGGTTGGGAGCTTGTATCGACACTGTGATTGGCGCGTCGCCGGCCGCATCGCAGGCGCGATACCGGTCGCCATCACCACCGCCCCGCCCACTAGCCTGACGTCGCTCGCAGACGGGCCTTGGTTGCATCTGTTGGTAGTGCGTGTAGTCATTGGCAGCGAAGCCACGCGCCCAGGGCATGGGGTGCTCTTCTGGTGGCGGGCCATCGCCCGTGTCGTCACGCTTGTCGTGATCACCGCGAGGTCCCGTACGCCTCACCGCCCCTGCCGGCCTGGTCGGGTAGTAGGCCACTGAGTCCAAGTGAACTAGGACCTTGTGGTGGAGTAGCCGCGGGATGTGGTCGGTGCAAGCGCAGGTGTCGTCCATGCCACCCTCTTCTGAGAAGCCCACCGGCATAGAGGAATGCGCTAGCGGGTTAGAGCACGGCCTTGGCTCGCCATGCACCGTCAATGTGGCGACCGTGGGCACCTCCTCCAGGTCCTCGACCCACGCCGTGGCCACAAAGTAGGAGAGATCTTCCTTGTCGAGTGTCTCGGTGGTGATGCGATAGATGAGGCACTCCGGCAGCATCCTTTGGACCCTGTTGATTGACCAGGCGTGCGACGGCAGGTCCTCTAGGAAGAGGCGCACGCTGTAGCGGTTGACGTGCGAGGAGGCGAAGGAGAGGCTAGTCCAACGCCGCATGAGGATGGGGACTCCATGGAGTGCAACATGTCTTTTCGGCGACGGCATGGAAACACCGATCGCTAAAGAAGCGGACGAAGAAGCCGTCCTGGTTGAGGGACACGTAGAATGCGGAGGGAGGCAGCTCCAGGAACACCTGGAACGCTGAGGGAGGCAACTCTTGGAACTCCATGGTGAACTCTTGGTAGCGGGACACCCGACCGCAGAGTCGAAAGGTTGTCTCGCTATAATCCAGTGGGCGAACGGGTGCCTGAAGCACCGATTACGAGCTGCCTCTATACCTCTCTTATAGCGAGACAACCTTTCGACTCGCTGAAGTGCAATGCAGAAACACGAGGATGTGGGCCCACCCAGTGCATGGGAGGCCACTTCCTCGCTTTTGTTTTGTCTTTTCACGTGTTTTCTTTACTTTTTTTTTCATTTTTTAAATTAGTTTATGCATCCAAGTATTTTAAATAAATGTATAACAAAAAACACTTTGCATAATTTAAAAAAATGTTAACTAAGCATTTGAAAATGTTAAATGTACATAGAGAAAATATTTCTCATGTATATGAAAAATGTATACAGAAAAATATATAATGTGTGTGGAAAACATTGATCATGTATTTATAAATGTTAATCTAAGCATTTGGAAAATGTTAAACAAGTATTTGAAAAAAATGTTAATTAAGCATTTGAAAATGTTAAATGTGTATAGAAAATGTTGACCATGTATTAAAAAATTGATAATCTTCTATTTTTAAATATTAATCAAGCATTTGAAAATTTTAAATGTGTAAAAAATTCCAAAGAAATGTTAACCAAGCATTTGAAAAATGTTAAATGTACATAGAGAAATGTTTCTCATGTATACAAAAAATATATAATGTGCGACAAAGTTGATCGTGTATTTACAAAATGTGAATCCAAGCATTTGAAACAAAAGTTAAACAAAAAGTTGAAAAACAATATTAATCAAGCATTTGAAAAATGTTGATCATGTATTAAAATGTTAAACTTGTAGTTTTAAAATGTTAGTCTAGCATTTTAAAAATGTTAAATGTTTATAGGAATTTTTTTGACCTTGTATTCAAAAAATGATTTTTTATTCGAAGAATGTTAAGCAAGGATTAGAAAAAAAAATAAGTGTGTATAAAAAAATGTTGACCATGTGTGGAAAAAATGATAATCTTGTAGCATTTGAAAAAAGGTAAAATGTATAGAAAATTTTTTGACCATGTGTTGAAAAAATGTTAATCTAGTAGCATTTGAAAAGTGTTAATCAAGTGTTTGAAAAAAGGTAAAATATGTATAGAAAAAATGTTGACCATGTGTTGAAAAATTGTTAATCTAGTAGCATTTGAAAAGTGTTAATCAAGCAATTGAAAAAAAGGTAAAATGTGCATAAAAAATGTTAACCATGTATTAAAGAAATGTTAAACTTTTATTGAAAAATGTTAATAAAACATTTGAAAAAAATGTAAAATATGTATAGAAAAACTATTGACCATGTTAAAAAAATATTACTTTCATATTTCAAAAATGTTAATCAAGCATTTGAAAAATGTTCAATGTATATAGAAAAAATGTTGACCATGTATTCATTAATGTAAATCTTATATTTAAAAAATATTGAGTGTATTAGATATATACCAAAAAGTTCGTAGAAAAAAATAAAAACCTGAGAGAAAACAAAAGAAAACCAATGAAAAACAAGAAAAAATAAATGAAAAGAAAAAGAAGGAAAAGAAAAAAAAGAGTGTGAAAACGGAAAGAAACGAAGAAGCCAAATAAAAAAATAGAAACAGTAAACATAGAGAAAGAAACTAAGTAGAACCGAGGAGAAACAAGAAAAAACAAAAACAAAAGCCGAAAAACCAGTGAAAAACCGGCTCTTTAACATGGTCGCAACCTACTAAGTTGACACGGACCAGGTGTTGGCCCAGTAGCTAGCAGTGCTGTGCTGCAACCTGGAGGTGCCAGGATCTCCGGCCCGCAACTGCAGATGCTTCTCTTGTCGGGCGTGGCTAACGAGCGCGCGCGCGCGCGTCCCAGCCGGCGCGCTCGATTGCCGACCAGGCCGATCCGACAGCAAAACGACAATTCAGCGAACCGGAGCGCAGTCCTATTCCCTTTCTCGATCGATTCTGGCTGTGAGAGCGCTCTACCTGTTCGTGACTTTGGCCCAGCGCTGGCCCAATACCACCCCTAGGCTCTATTCCCTTTCCATATTGTTTCTTTTGGGCCTGTATTTTCCTATTTCACCTATTCCCTTTCTGGGCCAGCGGTTTTTCAGGGACAGTTGTGGGCGGGAAATTACACTTTTAATTGAAATAAACTATGACTTTCAACCAAAATTAATTGCTACTTGTGCACACAAAAATAAATTCTCTTAGATCTAATTTGTCCATGAAATATATTCTTATTAAGAAAAAATAGCATGCTCAATTCAATTGATCTACAACATTTTGGTTGAAACTAGAATGATCATTAAATAGATCTACTATGAATTTTTTTTAAATTAATGACAAAATTACCAAAGTAAAAAAACACATTTTCAAAAATTCGGAACAAGTTTTGAATTTGTGATTTTTCTGGAAATCATGAATATTTTTTGAAAATTCATGACAACATATGAAAAACAAAAACATTTCGTTCTGTCACTTTCTATCATTTTGCGTAACCCTAAGATAGACAGGGTGGCAGTGGTGTCACGTGCTCGTCTCGGCGTCCGTCGTCGCTACCGCGACGACGTCCGCCTCGA